AATGTCTATTTATGTATTAAAAAACTTCTATTTACTGACAGTAGTGTAGTTTATAATTAATGCAAATCTCGTTAATACAGGTATAGTATAGTGAACTGTGTAATGAACTCAATAATAAGGGTAAGGGTTGAGATATTTTGTTGCAAACACCTACACCTTGACTCCACTCAAGAGGTTATCCATTATTTATATATATTTGTTATAACATTAATAAGTTATTATTAGAGAAATATTATAAACAATCAATTTTGTTAATTAAAAAATTAATTTTACGATTATATTGACTGCAAAATACATACCAATTAATAGCGGAAGCAATAGATTAATATCGACTAAACTAACAGAGAGTACACATAGTTATGGATTTACTGTGAACTCACTTTTGATCTAATTTTTTGTACTAAACATTTAAATAATTTAAATGATTATCTATTTTTAGGACAAAAACTCACGGTTTAAATACACATCATGTTTACGGTATTAACTCATAAACCATATTATATTTGTGTTTATTTTCAGACAAATTCGTCAAAAACAGCAACACTTTCGACGCATTTGTAATAAAAAACTCGTTTTATATTCAAACATAAAACATATATAAATAAAAAAAATGTCGAAAACTTTTAATAGTATGAAACATGATTTGAATTACTGTTCATTCATACACGCGTTTACGTAACTTATATTACATTTCCTTTCAATGTCTTCAAGTTTTTTCATTTTATTTTTTAATCAATTATTTTCTATTAAATATGCTATCAGTTGATTCATTCAATTACAGTACTATAAAATGCATTAATACTGTAATTAATAGCAAAACTTCATACCATTAATAGTAAAGTAATTATGAAAATAATTATTAAGTAATTATCAAACGAGTGGTTCATTAGCTCATGAATTGGACATCACTTTGAACTCAATTCAATTCAATTCAAACACCTTTTCATACGATTACCGCATAATTAAAGACAAAACTCGAGACAAAAGTGTGTAACAAATACTCACGTATTCGTGGATCAGCTCTGATGAGGGATAACGCGAACTGAAGTAATGATACGAATGTGTCGTAAATGAACGCAAATGGAGATGAGATGACCCGCGCTATGAATGACCAGACAGTGAGCCTCCCCTCAGCCCTCCTGTACTCCACGTTATTGTTATTATTATTGATATTATTGTTGTTGTGGTGGGAATTGGGGTCACTTTGGGAACTGTTGGCCACTGAGTGTCGATGTCTTACGGAGGACTCGCTTTCGGACAATGAGTTGCTGTTCGTGTCGTTGGCGTCGACGCCGTCTAACGTGAGCCGCACTGCGATCTTAAGACATGAAGACACAGAACATGACATTCAGTACAGAAGGCATTCAGTGGTGACCATCGATGGCATGTCACTCATGAGCTCATAATCACCTCTAAATCCCAATCGTTTTGCTGCAGAATCTGTTTACATCTGTCGAAGTCTTCAATACCCGTCAGTTCCTAAGCATACAAACCATAACATTATCATCAGATCACATGAACAGCACATTCAGGTGACAGTCTGTGGCACAGAGTCTGTGAACGCAATGGTAATGCGCTTCCGAGACATGAGACGACTGGTGCCGCGCGTGCAGTGGTGTGCGGGGGGAACGGTATGCGTGGTGTGAGTGGGGGTGACAAACCTGGAACTGGAGGACAGCCTCATTCTGGATGGGATTGAGATGGAAGTGGTGGTTGTGGTCAGTGGTGTTGATGTCTGTGTTGTGATTGTCTGCCATCTTATGTGTTGACTCTCTCTATGACT